TGCAACACGGGCCATATCTATATATTAGTGCTGTCAAAATTATCGCGTTAAGGGCGGTAATTAATTATTTGAATTAATTGCATTAAAATATTTAACGCATTTAACGCATGTGCAGAATGGCCCGCCCCATACGTGCCACCAGTGGCAGCGCCAGGGTATGGCTGGGGTAGGCTACACCAGAAATGGCTTAGCCCCACCATGAAAAATGATGTTAAAGTAAGCAAAATAAAATCAGCCAACTCGCGCGGAGTAAATTGCACAGACAGCAGTTAGTAAGATTGATTTCAGTAGCCACGGTTTTGAAAACTTTTGTCACGAAGTGATCGTCTTCTCAATAGAACATATTTGATAACGGCGTGGTGTTGTTGCAGGAAGTCCCGACGGAAAATACTTTTGCTGTAGTACAGGGGTGCACATAACTGGTACGCAGGTTATGTGCGTAATCTGAAATGCGTACCGTCACTTGTGTCACAAAGCGCATTTGCGTACATACGTATTTGTGAAGCTTTTCCAGAAGGCGGTTAGATCACCGGACGCAGGGCCGCCCCTTGCCAACTTGGGGCCCCAAGCGACATTGTGAGATGAGGCCCCCCCCCCCCCCCAACCGACAGGAGTGAAAAAATGTTTGCAAATATAATTCCTGTTTATTATTATTATCAACAGTTACTTTTTTATACAGTGAGGTAAATGGTAAATGTGCATGTATGTCGTTCAGTGTGCGTTTACAGGTGAATACGTCTGCATTTCCTGCCAAATACTATTCTCACTACTTCTACTAATAATAATAATCATAATCAATTCAATAATAAAAATACTATATTGTTTTATTATAATATAGTCAAGACAAAACATGCTTATGACATGCTCAAAAACTGATATTTCTTAAATCTGTATTAAAATGTAGTTCCCTCTGTCAGCAATGTATCAACAACTACACACATTTCTATCAGTATTTCTCTGTGTTGTGGTTGACATGATGACTGTTAGGAGTTAAGGGGAGAGGCTGAGCATTACCATGAAATGTGCAAATTGACATAAAAATGAATAAAAGGGGAAAAAATGCTCCATGTTTTTTAGGCTCTAAACTTTAACTGTTATGTAAGCCAACTAGACAGACAGTTGATCACTCTTCCTCCTGTACATTAGCAGATAAAAGGCATAACATACTTGAATGAATGGTAAATAAAGAATGCTGGAAATAACTGCATCTCCATTAGCCTATATGCTATGCAGAGACTGCCTTCTTCATGTCGTGAATTGCAGCTGATGTTTTAATATGGCAATTGGCAATTTGACTTATACAACATTCGCAAGTTGTACATTTGACTCATACAATAACCCACCTTCGAGTGATGCTCTAGTTTCTTCATGTTATGTTTTTTGCGCTGGACTGAAACTGTCTTTTCACCGACATCTCTTTACCTGCACTAGTGGCCGTATCAAAGCCGTGATTAGTCAGATGTCGATACATTACAACGGTGTCGGGTTACATACATGCTCCCCTTGTCATCTCTCACTCACTCTTGCGGGGGGTGCGCGGAGAACTGAGCGGAGAACTGAGCACAGCAGCTGGGGCCCTCTGGGCGGGGCCCCCTGCGCACGGCGGGGCCCCATGCAGCCTGTGTGATTGGCCTGTAGGGAGGGGCGGCCCTGACCGGACGACAGAGTCGGTCTCCGTGTGCACAGACAGGGCTGCTGTTAACATCGGTCTGTACAACGGAATTGTGCCAAAACTACGCCAACCGGCTGCAGAGGGAGACTCCCCCCCACTGCGCTAAAACAGCTGATCACAACGTTCACACTCTGTGGTCACGAAGTACTCCACTAGCCGCCGCCCCCCCCACCCCCCTCTGTCGACTTTCCTGAAGTACTCCCCCGTTGATAGAAATAAACACGTAATGAATTAAGACCCCACGGTTTGATGATTGATAGGTCTGTGGGCTTTCATGTTGACACACAGAATTTTTTTATAATAAACATAGATACTGTATGTTAAATGGATATATCCGCCTTCTTTCATTTATCTTTCCATTCCCACAACAATATACATAAATAAATGGCATATTTTGGACATAGTTCGAATGGTGATTAATCATGATTAATTAATTTTTAAGCTGTGATTAATCTGATTAACATTTGTAATCGTTTGACAGCCCTAATATATATATATATATATATAAATACGCCATTTTCCTGGAGGTGCTAATATCCTGGAAGTGCAAATATAAACAGCTAGCTAACGTAGCCAGGCAGAGCGCACTAGGTTTTTTTTCTGAATTAACGACCGAAGAAATCGCTGCATGTCTTCGGATTACATCTCTGGACTTGAGGGGTGTGCTTTAGGTCGTTACCAGCGTAAACTAGAGCTGTGTGGGTTGTTACAGACTGCCTGCAGATGTATGGAAAAACGACAGTGACCTTCGTCGATTTTGGCTGCATCTACGTCTAATTTCTGGAAACACCAGGTGAATACCCCACTTGTTTCAATAATATTATCATGCCATTGCATATATGGGGTATTTTAGAGTTGACTAGATATTGATTAAGGCAATAGACTATGATATTCAGTACAGGAAGCTTAGCAACACCTAGACGGTGTACGGCTGCTTGCACCTCGCATAAAACGGCGGATACCGGAAGTACGGTGTCGCGCTCGGCCCAATACCCGTATGTGTGTGTGAAAGAATTCGATGTTAGAGTTAGCTGTTGTTAGCCTCTGCATGCGCCAAGCTCAAACTACCCAGCTTTGCTAAATTAATTACTATGGTATAACATTAAAACTGATTCTCAATGTTATTTCCACAGATCATGTTGAAGCTGGCGGAAAGGCGGAGGTCGCGTGTATTTGGACACAGCCCAGATCTTCCAACTGGTGGAACACCATTGTTCCAGACTTCTCCCCTCTGCAATTCATGCAGAATTTCCGCGTGTCCAGGCAGTCCTTTGACTACATCTGCAACCAGGTCAGCGGCGTTATGGGGAGAAGAGACACAAATTACCGTCTGTGTATACCCAATAAAAAATGGGTTGCAATTGCCCTCTGGAAGCTGGCCACCGGAGGTGAATACAGGACCATCAGCCATCTTTTCGGGGTAGGCCAAAGCACCGTTTGCCTCTGTGTTCAGGATTTCTGCAGGGCAACCATGGAAGTGCTGCTTCCACTACATATCACATTTCCTGATGTGGAGAAGTTGGTGGAAATGGCCACTTTTTTCAACAGACGTTGGAGAGCACCACAGTGTGTTGGTGCAATAGATGGAAGCCACATCCCTATTTTAGCACCCCGAGATTATCCCAAGGACTATTATAACAGAAAAGGATGGCATTCTGTTGTTCTACAGGCTGTTGTTGATGGCAGGGGGATGTTCTGGGATGTGTGTGTTGGCGACCCAGGTAGTGTACATGATGCTAGAGTGCTAAAACAATCTAATCTTTGGGTGGCTATCAGTGATGGAGTGTTGCTAGGCCAAAACAAAATGACCATCTCTGGCTGTGATGTGGGACATTACCTGATTGGTGACCCAGCCTATCCAATGCAAAGATGGCTAATGAAACCATTTTCGGACACTGGGAGACTGACCCCTGAACAGCACACCTACAATTACAGGCTGAGCAGTGCACGGTCGGTTGTTGAGATGGCGTTTGGAAGGCTAAAAGGAAGATGGAGGTGCCTCCTAAAAAGGAACGACTGGGAGCTGGAACTCAGCAAAATAATGACAGTGACTTGACAGTGAGCTGATGTTAGATCCGCATTGATGGACTATTTCAACATGGGGGACCACTAATATTACTGCAGTTAAACCTGATCTATTTTGTATCATGCCTCTTTTTTTTTTACAATAAAATCACTGGATCAGACTTGAAGTGTGTTTATTTTGTATACAAATCACAGCATCTAGATACAAACACAGGTATGAACTATATTCTTATAAAAAAAGTGCATACCCAAACGGTTTAGACTATATTCTTAACTCAAATACACAGTGGGCCAAAATAAAAATAAATGGGTACTAGTCGAGGGCCGGACTGGTTCAATGTTTATTGCAAAACGTATTGAAATGAACTTATTGCACATATTAAACCTGGAACTAACAAAGCTTAAATTGTTGCCTATAAAAAGATTACACATTAAATCAGTTGCATTCCTTTCTTATGGCTCTATCTGCAGCTTTTCCAGAGTCATTTCTGTGGTTTAGACTATATTGTAAAATCAAATGAAAAAAACTATAAAAAGCACATCGAGTTATGAATACAATTGAAACTGGACAAAAGAACTACAAATAATATAGAACATTATCATACAGTCCTGGCCTCCCCAAAATCATATAACCATTGTTAACGGCAGTCCTTATTATATATCCATAATAACAATGACTGCTGTTCATCTACACACAACAGTGGAACATGTTGATTTCATTATTGGCAATACTCAATCTTATTACCCTTTATCAAAATAGTATATTCTTACTAAAAACTATATTAATTAATTTGACAGGAAATACAAAGAAAAAGGATCCCTATCAATGTAACTTGTTTATACTGATGCTTCTATACTGTTATCATAATAAAAAACATCATATTAGCCTGTATTGATAAGGCTCATATATAATGTACAGTATGTCATATCATAAGTGAATGCCCTGTATTTAAATGTGTGTCAATCTGTGAGTGGGCCTTCTCCTAGGAAGACATTGCAAGTATACATTTACATTTCAAACATCATTTTATGGGCACTTTAAATGATAAGAATAGCACACATGATTCACATCTGAGTAATAAATCAGAAAATATTGGTGTCTGTAAATGCTACTAGTATACAAACTGTAGTATCATATAATGTCCTTTGTTTTCTGTCATGTTTGTATTAATGTTTGGAACTAATTGAAGCAGGTCACCATTGTAAAAGAGGTCTATGATCTCAATGGGTTTTATCTGTATAAATAAAGGTTTTGAATTGAATTGAATTGAATATTAAACCTGGAACTAACAAAGCTTAAATTGTTGCCTATAAAAAGATTACACATTAAATCAGTTGCATTCCTTTCTTATGGCTCTATCTGCAGCGTTTCCAGAGTCATTTCTGCGGTTTAGACTATATTCTTATAAAAAAAGTGCATACCCAAACGGTTTAGACTATATTCTTAACTCAAATACACATGCCTATCCGTTTTTTCAATAAAATCCATGGATCAGACATGACTTTTGAATTTTGTTTATTGTACAAATCAAAGACATGTATGGACAATAATTCACCAAAAAGTTTGGCGAATATACTATAATAATAATGTGTATACAAAAAAAGAACGTGTATACAAAAAAAAAATATGGTCAGCTTTTGTTGTTGGCCTCCATCACCTTCACAAGCCTGTCTACCATGCCAAGCATTGAGTGGCTGTTCTGCTCGATTCTGGTGAAAACTCGTAGGAACTCACTCAGCATTGGCCACATGCACCTCCTGAAGCATCGCCTGGCCCTGCTCCTTAAGCATCGCCTGGCCCTGCTCCTTAAGCAATGCCTGGCCCTGCTCCTGAAGCCTTTCCTCCCTGTCCTCACTTTTCTCCAGATACTCCAGAAGGCCAGATGATAAATCCCGCTTCCTTTTAACTATAAAAAGAGAAAAATAAAGTCAACACTGTATTCATGGCATTTTATGAGATGTATATTATATACTGTGTAATGAAATGTTGTATTGTTCTTATGGCTGCAGTTGTATAACTTGAACAACTACTACAATGACTATGCCATGATAAATGCACATGGCAACAGGGAACAGTATTACTATTATGACCACTGTAAACCTTACCCTGTTTGTGTCGGCCCACTGGCTGGATTAGGTTCACCAGAGATTCCTGGGAAGAGCTGCTTGTGCAGATATTTCTGTAAACACAATATAAACACAATGAATTATAAATCGTTAGTGAGAAGAAAGAAGATACATTGGAGGCTTTAGCTGTCTTTGCCATGGGGATACCTTTGTTTATTATTGTTAGCATTAGCATGCTAGGGCTATTATTGGTTTGGTATCCGGTAGCATCCGGTAGCTGTAGTAGGTCAACTTTAGCTTTATTACCAGGTCTGTCGATAGCTACATGGTTTAGTTTATGTTGTAAAACAAAAAGTCACAAATAAAACAAATGGGTAATGCATAACTCACCGGCATCAAATGAGCTCTGCACATTCAGCGACTCGTCCTGCAACATCATCGACGTGAGAGAAAGTGAGTTCACCGTAGATCCAAAACCACTCGTCGGTCTGTCCCCGAGGACCGAGTCTAGCATGTCATAATGTGAACTTGTTTTCGGACGACCGCTACCACTCCGTCCGAGGTCTCGCTTTTGGTCCCGATAGTCCTTCTTGACTTTTTTTAATTTGTTGCCAATCTGTTCCACGGTACGGTAAAAACCAGCGGTTGCCATCTGTTTCTGCAATTGTTGGAGAATTGCTTTGGACCGCATGCTCCCCTCCAGCTTCCTCTGTACCTCTTCGGAAGACCAGATTCACAGTAGGTAGCTGGTCTCTTCAGTGGACCACTGCTTTTGTTAAGTTTCTCCATCGTTGTGTACAAACTGGATAACACGCAGGCTTCTTGTTGTTGTTCAGGAGTTGATCTGTCTCTGCCCCTGCCCCCGCCTCGACGTAAGCGTGACGTATGTGGTGCTTTTGCTCTGGCCGGACAATTTTCTGGTGCTTGAAATGAACCGGATTCCGGAGCTAAGAGGCTGCTCCGCTGCAGTGTGAAGAGGAAAGCCCGGTGCTTTTCAAGCTCCAGCTCCGAACCGGCCCCGAAACACCGTTGGTGTGAATGAGGTATGAGTCTGGTGGTTTTAGTCCGGATGCTGCGGTACCGCCTGCCAGACGGCAGCAGACCGAACAGTTTGTGGCTGGGATGATGGGGGTCTTTGATAATCCGGAGGGATTTCTTCCTGAGGCGCTGGGAGTATAGGTCCTCCATGGATGGCAGCTCCGTCCTGGTTTTCACCACCCTCTGTAGAGTCTTACGGTTGAGGGTGGTGCAGCTGCCGTACCAGGCCCTGATGCAGCCAGTCAGGATACTCTCTATGGTGCACCTGTAGAAGGTCAGGATACTCTCTATGGTGCACCTGTAGAAGGTCAGGATACTCTCTATGGTGCTCCTGTAGAAGGTCAGGATCCTCTCTATGGTGCACCTGTAGAAGGTCAGGATGCTCTCTATGGTGCACCTGTAGAAGGTCAGGATGCTCTCTATGGTGCACCTGTAGAAGGTCAGGATACTCTCTATGGTGCACCTGTAGAAGGTCAGGATCCTCTCTAGCACCTGTAGAAGGTCAGGATGCTCTCTATGGTGCACCTGTAGAAGGTCAGGATACTCTCTATGGTGCACCTGTAGAAGGTCAGGATACTCTCTATGGTGCACCTGTAGAAGGTCAGGATCCTCTCTAGCACCTGTAGAAGGTCAGGATGCTCTCTATGGTGCACCTGTAGAAGGTCAGGATACTCTCTATGGTGCACCTGTAGAAGGTCAGGATACTCTCTATGGTGCACCTGTAGAAGGTCAGGATCCTCTCTATGGTGCACCTGTAGAAGGTCAGGATGTTCTCTATGGAGCACCTGTAGAAGGTCAGGATCCTCTCTATGGTGCACCTGTAGAAGGTCAGGATGTTCTCTATGGAGCACCTGTAGAAGGTCAGGATGCTCTCTATGGTGCACCTGTAGAAGGTCAGCATCCTCTCTATGGAGCACCTGTAGAAGGTCAGAATGCTCTCTATGGTGCACCTGTAGAAGGTCAGAATGCTCTCTATGGTGCACCTGTAGAAGAGATTTTGAAAGGGTATTTGGTAACATGAGAGTGTGAGTGCCAGCACCCCCGGTGCACCGGATTATCTTCAATATATTAAAGATATACAGATTAACTTTGAGTAATGATTTTAGGCCGGAATGGGAATGGAAGTGAGGAAAGGCCTGCATGCCATTAAAGTCTGAGATATGAGGTGTCTGTTAGACGGGTGGCTTACATTAGTCATCTCAAAGTGCTCTTTCATATCCCCTTCACAATTCAGTCTATTTGCACCCTATGCATGAGTGAGGAGAGAAGCTGAGGTCAGTGTGTGTGTGTGTTTGTGGGGGGGGGGTGTGTGTGTGGGTTTGTGTGTGTGTCTAATTATGTGGCAAATTGTCCAAATACTGATGACACTCGATGGGCATGCCATGTTTCATGGACTGAAGGTACTGAAACTTCCTCTCCTTGACTGCTCCACCTCTTTAACGACGGTCTCATTTTCATTAGATGATTCCTGATCGGTGTCTGAAAAGTCAAGTGCATCTCCTACCAATAAGGAGTAGGAGTAGTGCAGGCGTACCGTCACAACTGTGTGATCATTATGAAAAACCTTTTTGTAATTGCACTGTGGTCCTATGTATTAATACATTAAAGCTATTTTGATGAATATTATTTGGCCAAATTCAATTAAAGAAACCTTTAATCTTTCCTAATAAGATGAAAATGTAATAGAAAAAGGAAACAATAATACAATATTAAGAATTGAAACAGACAAACGCAAAATATACTTTTCCTAATTCATAATTATGCAGTAATTGTAACCGTTACTTTTGAAAGATTAGTTTTTAGATGAGTCTTTATTGTCCCAGAGGGAAATGTGTGCATGCTTCATGGAGCTACAGTAAATCGGGCGAAGCCTGCGAGCTAGTTCAGGCAGTCAACTCGAGCACTTATGCTGCATTCATACATAACGCCCCCCTTGGCACTCTACAACCAACCAAACAGAGTCTCCTTAATATGCCGCTCTATTTAACCTGCCAGATCTCTCTCCATGCATTGCTTGCTGCTGCTATTGCTGCAGCTACCTCTACGTCGCTGCTGCTTGTCTGCTGCCACTGCTGCTTGCCTGCTGCCACTGCTGCTGCCACTGCTGCGTTCACTTGCTATTGCTGCGTTCACTTGCTATTGCGGCGTTCACTTGCTATTGCGGCGTTCATGTTCCGGCTGCTGTATTTCATGTTGCTGCTGCTTGCTTGCCGGTGCTGTCCTTGCAAATGTCTATTGCAATCTCCGACTCTGGAACCGAATCATCACACGCAAGAAGCCGTAAGAAATGCCTCATTCCCGAAACACAGGTTAGCTCAAAGCATGGTTCAGACGCCGCTGGAATGAGCCACAGCTCCCGCACGACACACATTCAGGTGTCCCTTCCGTCCTCATCTGGAGTAGCTTTTAATATCCTTTGGGCCAGAGGAAGTCCCGAGTTCTACGCCAGCTCCGGTAACAACCCCTCTCTTGTGTGTCAGCTAAGAGTCGCACTGTCTCTCGGTCGGTGGGTATTTAAACACCAAAAAAGGCAGGAGCAAGCTGACTCCGGCATTCCCAAAGTACCTGCCATCCTGTCCTACCTTCTCGAAGTAAAATCAGCGCTTGAAGCCTTTAATTGCACGATATATTCCCGTGAACAAACTCGATTTCCTCTACCTGCAATGTAAACAAATGTTTCTACTTCCGCGTTCAACCACGTTGTGCCGCTGACGTCACACTCCCGAGGATTCTGGGAATTGGAGTCCCAGATCCAGCCACGAGTTCTTGCTTCCGGCCCCCTGCAGCAGCAGTTCCTTAGGAATCGCATCTTGGCAGGTATATAACTATTCTGCATAAGCAATGTTTTATTATGGACATATTTGGCCTGCAGTAAGTCATATTTGAGGCAATTATACAGAAGTTGTATGTGTATAAGTATTTATACTAGGCCTACTATAAATCAATGAAATTAAAAACGGAAATAAATTAATAATTTCCATCACGTGAATATGAAGGGAAGCTCGATACATTTTTGACCATCATTTTAGACTTCAATCTCTCCTACAGTGTCTTTTCTATGAATACCATGAATCATTCTCTGCCAAGCGGCCATGTACATTTAATCACCTACCAAAGAAGAGTTTTTCCTCACAGGAATTAAGCTCTACCTGCAATATCTGCCCCTCGCTGGGTGTGCCTCAGGAGGCTTCATGCTGCAAATCTGCAAATCACATCTATGTTCGTCAAATGACCTTATCACAGGCTTAAATCAAGGTTTCTTAGCAGGTTATGCTGGCTCCTAGGGACCCATGTCTGTTGAAACCTGCACTCAAGACTGAAGTTTGCACTGAAGGAGCCAGGAGTATTACACGTGCTGCTATTTAAACGTTTAAAAACACGACAGGCCCCTAGCCTAGTGCTAGGAGGAATTATTCTAGCAACGTTTCTTTATTGAGCCGTTAGTTCCTCACGATTATTCTGTCAAGAGTATAATAAACTACTAAAGATTGTTCCCGTTTCTTTGCTCTGTAGATGACATGGCAGGGAAAGCAGACATCCCGTATGCCTTCTGTGGCATATATATTTTAAGGTTTTACAAATCAAATGTGCATTTGGTTGTCATAGTAGCCCACGTTTCTTTGACACCTCATCAGAAGCATTATGCTGGATTCTCTGCAACACTGTAAGCACCCCTTGGTGTCCATCTTTTAACCATTTTCTAGTTGTTAACTTTCCCAGATAAAACTTTTCAACAGCTAGGACTACCTCTTTCAGAACAGGAACTGGAAGCCCTTCCACACGTCTAGAATTATCGGTATCATTCTCGATAGTGTGCTGATGCAAGCTTCACTGCCACCAGACAAGCTGTCCCGCATCAGAACAGCCATAATTACAATTCATGTTATTTATTTAGCGCCTTTCCAAATGTTCAAAGTGCTCTACGTTATACTACATATTAGACTTGTAATACATTCAATACTGATTACTGCCTTCAATGATGGTCTCCCACTGGTAGTCTCTCTAAAAGAGATGTTTTATATTTATAAGGAACAAGCGCTAGCCTTTCTGTTCAAACCTTAAGGCACCATAGTCTTAGGTCACGTTCACACCTGCTTGGTTAGTACTATTGAATCGGTCCCTGTAGCGTTAACCCCTTGATGCGGTTCGTTGGATTGGTGTGGAAGCAGTCTGATACCTCTGCTCCGCCTAAAAGAGGTGGCCTCGGGTCGCTCGCTAGTAGACTCTGGAGAGGTTCATTGCTGGTGTGACGTAGTCCGTATCAAAACATGGGAAACAACTATTTGCGCGTCATCGCTTGTTTTGCTATCTATGCTGTGTGCAACATCCAGTAACCTATATGGTCATGCATTCATTCTGGTGACTGCTTACCTCACTGGTCCCCTGTGTACAGAGAAAAGGCAGTGGTACAATCTCATCAGAGCCACCTGTCATCGGTGAAACCTCCTCACTGCATAACGTCTCATTTTGTGTTATAATGTTTTTAATGCACGTCGTCTGATTTATAATCCTATGCACCGGCCGCAGAGTCTGTTGATGTACTCTCCAGATTAACAGCAGTATGAAAATAACCTGCCAATAATGCAGGCTACTGTAGAAATGGCTGGGATCTGCATTTTATCCGCTTAATGTCCCGCCAATTGTTGAAAAAGCATCTCCGTACAATGACTTTAGTTTACAGTTCATAGTCTGTTTGAGGTTGCCTGGGTGAACGCAAACCCAACCTTCTGCAAATGAAACGATGTAATACACTTGCGTCTGGTGTAAAGACGCGGACTATTCGGCATGAATGCAATCTTA